TATAAAAGTACATTTTTCGAAAAACAAGGTAGAACTTACATAAAGCTTAAAATATATTTTTGAGATTCAACGAAAACACTAAAATCTCAAAAGACATGGAAAATAAGCAATCGAATAAAAATTCTAAAATTTAAATAAAAATCTAAAATTTTGAAAAATAAAAATTAAAAAAATTCTGAAAAAAATTAAATTTGTCCAAGCTCTTAATCATTGGAAAAAATTTCTAAAAAGAAATATTTACATGAAAATAGAAGGTCATTAATTTTTTTTTTCAATGTCTTGCCAATTCAATTTATTATTGTTTGTATTTTATTTCTATAGATGAAAAAATATTTTACGATTCATGAAGCTTAAAATGTATAAATTAGTTGATAATATATTAGGATAAAATTGTTTTATTGTAAAATGTATTTTTTTTTTTTCAAAATTCCAAACTAAACTTTTTTTTTATAAATTAGTTGATAATATATTAGGATAAAATTGTTTTATTGTAAAATTTTTTTTTTTTTTTTCAAAATTCCAAACTAAACTTTTTTTTTTTTTTCAATTTTCGTTTTTGAGAAATAATTTTTTAGAAGTGGAAATTACACTCACCCCTATTTTCTAATTTTTCATTTCAAATAAGAATTTAAATTTATTCGTTCAAAAAATCAAGTATGTACAACATTCATCCCTACTCATACCACCCTCCCTACCATTTAATCCATTTCTTCCCCAGTTCAATTGAAGAGCTACAATCCATACCTCTTCATTTTCACCCATCGTCCATTGCAACTAACACTTCCACCAGCGCCATAGAAAGTATTTCCATCTTCACCATCCTTCCACCACCATGGTGTGTGGTGAGAAACTTTAACTTCGTGCGAGTGCACATGAGAAAATGGGCTCTCATCCTTCGAGATTGGCTGCAGCAGATTTTTTAAGAATTGGTTGAAGCTTGTAATATAAGAGAGTTAAATATTATTGGGTTTTTTTTATTTTGTTTTTAAAAAAAAAAAAAAAAAAACTTGTCCAGTGGCATGATTATAGGGCATTTAGAATGCCGATTGGACAGGGCTTTAGTGATCGACTCTTATATGGGCATGTGTCATGCTATATTTTGCTTAGCTCACCATGAAACGAATTTGATCATAACCCAACCCTATTTTCAACTGTACTGCACATGCATTATGATTTACAAACACATGAGATGTACAAAAGGAAGTGATTTTTTTTTGTTTGGTGGAAAAAATTCTGACTGATATTACACATTCTATTATCACATCTTACTTTAGTTTGTTATACAATCTCGTGACACTAGAACGGCGGGAGAGAATAGTACGAGCACCACCGTCGTCAAAGTCTTCAAGGTCTAAACGGGTGTTGTTCGAGTTAGAGTTCCTATCGTGAGAGGTTTAATCGGTGGTTTGCCAATGAAGGAGGTTTAATTGGATTGATGTTTCAGTTGGTTCAACTGTAAGAGTTTCTTTGATGGATCACCTATGAATGAGGTTTGGTTTGATTGTTATTGTTTCAGTTAATACAATGGGCAGATCCATCCCATTCTCATTCTTCCAAGATGAAAATATAATGATGGTGGGTTGAAGGTGGAGGTAATGGTTGTAAGTTGTGGATTCAAGGTGGCAACGGTTATTTGGATGGTGCTAGTGGTGTTGGAGTGGGTAGGGTAAAATGAAGAGTGATTGCGATCAATTGATACAGGAATTTGTTACTAATAAATAATATGTAACTATTAAAATGTGTAATTTGCAACTAAATAGTGACCCACAAATTGTGTGATTTGTGATAACCTCGTGTAATTTGTGATTATAACCTTAAATGATGTATTATTGCGATAGTGCCATATTTAGTTTAGTTATATGTTATAAAATTTTAATAGACATTTTTGAAATTCTTTCACATAAAACCTTTGTAATTATGTATTTTTCCCCTTTACAGAATGAATAATACTATTTGCAGTCTTCATTATGACAGTTATCTTATATGACATATATATGACTGTTAATAATTTGATTCATAAGACAATAAAAAATTACTATATTAATGTATCAAATTACCAACCGGCACATATATGCCACGTATAACAACTACGAATAACATTACTCTTTCAGAATGACAAATTAAATTTATTTTTCAACAATTTTAAAATAGACTCTCAAAATAGAAAATTGTATATAAACTCCAAATCAAAACTGAAATGCAAATCAAACGAGCTTTATTTATTCAATTCGTCTAATTTGTATATAGAGAAAATTACACCAGATAACTATTTAAAATTAAATACTCAAAATATACTATTTACCTTTTTATTTTTCCATTTATACGGAAGTAGAAAAGTATAATTAAAATTCATCAAATCACTAACTCCTTTTGTCTTACTATTAATTAGCAGTTCTAATTATGTCATCAATTAAATCCCTCTTATTTGCACCAAATTCCCAAATTCATCCACAGATATCTCAATTTACCAAATTATTCATAGTACGTTATTGGCTTCTCTCTTTTATCATCTTTCATTCACCATTTCAACTTGAATAAGTCTTGTTTGACAGGGGTCACATTGGCCTTGGCAATGTAGCAGGTCTCTTTCAACTTCATTACAAGGAAAAATTTCAAACTCTGGAAAATGGATGTGTCAGGAATGGCCAAGAAATTGGGCCTCTCCAAATCCAAACAACTCATCCATTAAGCCTCTAAGTTCCGCTGTCTCATTGACATCCGATTGAACTCCTCCATTCAGTGCGGTAAGTTATTTATTTTTTTATTCATTTTCAGTTCTGGGTAACCTATTATTTGCAGTTTTGTTTTTAAATTTTTATGGTAACCCATTCTGCATTTGAATTCATATATACAAGTTGTTATACGATTCAGGGTGGGATTTGTACGTTATTATGCTCAGAGATGGTTGCTTCTAGGTTGTGCTACTAATTCACATATGTATAATTTATTTATTAATTCGTTCTCCCAAATCACTCCAAATATCAAAATCTAAAACATCTCAATCCTCCTCTCATTGATCTATTCATTCCTTCCTTCTTGAATATCGTAACATTCCTAATTCACACAATATCCACATGAAATGAAGGACACGCAATCATATGTAGTATGAATATGTTTTCATACTTATCACCCCACACATTATACTACCCAATACCTTGATACATCATGTTGCATTTAACATGTGGCGTTCTTTCAGTTATTCTGTTAGTATGTTAGAAAATCGTGATATTATAATTTTTTTTTTCGAACTAATATGTAATGTCATGATGGTACAAGTATCTATTCAGAATTCATTTAGTTGTGACCTATAGAATTTAAAGAATGGAATGAAATAGAAGTTTTATGTATTATTTCTGTTGTATATACATTGGACTATGTACATATGTATTTATAGTGTGACAAAGGATAACATGATAACTCTAATCTATGCATGACATTTGAATTTGAATTTAAATAACAAATTAGATAACAAATGCAACATGATCTCCATGATATTCTCCTACACATCAGGTGGTTGAGATTTGCACAATACTTGTTCTTCAATACGCCCCTGCAATCTCAAGGGTAGGATACGAAGACTGAGATTGTTTGAAAGAGCTATGAAACGTGTAACTTATAGTGGTTTTGTTAAAAGATCAGCTAGTTGATCACGATTGGAGATAAATTTCACAACCAGATGCTTTCTTGTGACCAGATCGTGTACAAAATGGAAATCAATCTCAATATGCTTAGTTCGAGCATGAAAGATCGAATTGACAGTGAGGTACGTAGCTCCAATATTATCACACCAAAGTACGGGTGGTTGTGACATGGAAAGACCAAGTTCCTTTGTGAGTGATTGAAACCAAAGTAATTCCAAGAGATCAAGTTATTTCCATTGCCATTGCCAAGAGATCAAGTTCCTTTGTGAGTTGTTGACATTGCCAAGAGATCAAGTTATTTCCAAGAAAGATGCAATAAGCGCCTACGGAACGACGAACATCTTTATCCCCCGCCCAATTTGCATATGAGAATGCTTGAAATTGAACGTCAAGGGAACGAGAAAATAGCAAGGCATGAGAGACTGTATGCTTTAGAAAACACAAAATACTTTTTACTGTCTTTCAATGTGAGATTTTAGGGCAATGCATGAACTTGCTAACACGATAAAAGCAAAGGCGATGTCAGGTCGGGTAAATGACAGATATTATAAGCCTCCAACAATACTACGATACAAGGAAGGATCTTCAAAGTCACCCTCATCAGTGGAGGATAAACTAGTGGTTGTAGAGAGTGGTGTAAGGCAAGGTTTGACACGATCCATATTACTGCGTTTCTAGAGTTCAACAATGTATTTTCTTTAAGTGAGATAAATACCTTCAGGAGAGTGAAGTGCTTCAACTCCAAGAAAACATGACAAAGTGCCAAGATTTTTAACTGTAAATTTCTGATGAAGGCGAGATATTAGACTATTCACAGCAGAAGCATTGGATCCCGTGATAATGATATCATCAACATAAATGAGGATGTATGTGATGCTTGTAGTGTCTTGATAAACATATAATGAAGTGTCTGCCTTACTGCCAGTAAAGCCAAGCTGCTGCTATGTTTCAGTTAATTTTGCAAACCATTGTTGAGGGGCTTGTCGCAGACCGTATAGAGACTTTTGAAGTTTGCACACATAATCTGGAAATTGAGGATGATGAAAACCCGGAGGTTGTTTCATAAATACTTCCTCTTGAAGGTGACCATGTAAAAATGCACTTTATACATCAATCTGACACAAGATCCAACCACGAGTGATAGCAATAGTTAAAACAAGACAAATTGTAGAATGTTTCACCATAGGACTAAAGGTCTCATAAAAGTGGGCAAATACGATTTTTCCCCTTTTAATAATTTATTTATTACTTACTTAATTGAGGCCCAACTGAAAAATGGATTAGAATGGGAAATCATGTTGTAAAGCCCAATTGAAAGGCATCCATATCCAACTAGAACCCATGCATATCTGACTCTTATTCATGGGGGCAAAAGGAAGAAAAGCCTCGTTATTACGCTAAAAATTGTGGTAGAAGCAAAAAGGGTGACAAATTTATCTCCCCCAGGGCTCCAATTCGTCTTGTGTTGTAGCGATTTCAATTCAATTTCTTCATCAACGAAATTGGAAGGTAGGATCGGATTTTGCTAGTGTAAAACGGGCTTTATTTGTTGAAATCGCATTCTATCTGATTGTTGTGAAGGATATAATTTCAGTTCAACTCCTTAAAATTTATTTATTTTTCCAAATTGTTGTTTCTCGATGGTAATTTTCTTCTAGCTACAGTGATTTTTCGACAACATTTTATTGAATTTTGATGCAGTTGTTTAAGGTTTTCTCCTTGCCTTAAAAACTGGCACCCCTCAAGTGTAATAGGTGAAAATGATCGGGACCAAAATTCAGTGAGAGCAGTTGCTCCACTAGAACACGCAGGTGGCTCTGCCCCTGCCTCATGTTATATATATATATATCCAACTATATAAAGATTGAAATATTGAACTTTAAGTAAGAATTATGCGTTTTTCTTTGTAACGTTTCAAACTTTACGGTATAACCAGGTGTCTCTGCCCCTGCCTCATTTTATATAAATCCAACCATATAAAGATTGAAATATTGAACTTTAAGAATTATGCATTTTTCTTAGTGAAGTTTCGATCTTTACTGTATAAAGATTGCTGATTTACTGTATGGATTCCTATTGTTTTATTAATATATAATTTATGTTTGCTTCATTGGTAATGTCCATCTGTCTAAAAATTAACAAAAATGAGAAGTAAATGGGGAATTTATTTATTTATTTATTTGTATTTTAGGTAATTCGAAAATGGGAAAGCCTTCGAAGAAGAAATTGAGAAAGGTGGAACAAAGTGACAGTGGTTCGGATTTTGACAGCTACATGGAAAATCAAATGTTACCTGATAGTGTTAGAGCTATATTGTTTTTGTTAATTGGTCGTTCTTTGTGATTATATTTATATTTATATTTTTTATGATCCTTATTTGCTTTGTTGCTTTAATCAGGTGAATAATTTCATGGAAGATGATAAAGATGATTATAGCGATGATTATGATAATAACGAAAGGGATGGGGATAATAACGATGCTGATGATGGCCATGGGAACCATGATGAGGATACTGATGTCGAGAGTGAGAATGAGGGTGATGATGAGGAGGAGGAGGAGGAGGAGGAGGGAGGAGGGTCTGAGAATGACAATGACAATGAACTGAAGGGTGCTGAGATGGAAGAGCTTGAGAAAGAATATAAGAAACTTCGAAATGAGGAGCAGTAAGTTAATAGCCCCTCGCATTTCATAACATACCTGTTTGTTCAATTTTTATTTATTATTGAAAAAAAGTTAATATGTGGTTTTCAGCCAGGTAGAAGGGGATAGTTCATATTAAATGTATTAAAAAAAGATTTAAGCTACACTTTCTTCAAAATTCTTGTAAAGGCGTTAAGAAAAAAGATTCCAATCTTTTATGAATAGTTTGAGAAGACTCGGATCAACACATGTTTTATGAGCTTCAAAGCTTTAGGGACCAAGTGTTTATCCGATCGAGAGAACATAATTGTTCTGAAAATCAAGGTTTCTTAGTTCATGAGTCTATAGGTTGGTAACATTTTATATTCATAACCTTGGACCAAACTAAACGTGTACCTGCAAGCTATGTAATATTTTGAATTGCTTTTTCTAGAACTTGATTGCCTCTTTGAGCAATTTTTATCTGATTGAGCTTTAGAATGTCAAAAATATTTAGCTCTGTTTGATGGCCATTATGAAGAGAAATTGGGAGAAAATGATATTTTGAATAGTGATTTTTATGAAGAATGTGTACTTAAAAATTTGAGAAAAATTTTGGTTTTAGATGTATAATATTTTATTGTATGAATGTGTGGTGGAAAACAAGTATGAAGATTAGAGAGTTTTAATTTAAAGAGAGTCAAGCATTGACTTAACGAACTTCCTCAAATTTTCCACTCAAGCCGAATTTTATGTATGAACTACAGATTTTATTTGATGTCAGTGAATGAAATAGTAAGTTGGATTTACTCGTTACTGCCAAATATATGAAATGAAAGGACAAGAATGTTATTTGGACTGAATCTCTTGGACATTAGAAAATAGCTTCTTTTTTTTCCCCCATCCCTTTCCTGAATAGACTCAAACCCAAACTCAATTCACTGACATGGTGAGGCTTCAATCTTGACTTGAGCTAGGCCTTGATCTCAGAAAATAGCTTTTGGCTTAAGCGGTGATGGAGGTTTCCACTTTCTGTTGGGTTATAAGTACTCCAACCATGCTTGTTTGCTGGCACCATGCTTGTAAAAGTTTATGTGAAATGCGTTATCGGCAATTTAAATACCATTGTTGATTTTTGGATAGCCAACTTCAATGTAAAATTGTTTGTTTATGCTTCCAAGTGTAAATGATACTAGTATCATAAATGTCATCTAGTGATCTATTCAACTACTTGTCTCGCTTTATTCTTGTTTACAATGACACTGCATTATTGACTATCTAAGGTGATTTTATATAAAAATTATATATAACATATATTATATGCAATCTTACTCCCTTGTTCACCAGAGATCTTTTAAGAAATCTAAAGGGCCATAAGGATGAGGATATTCAAAAAGGTCAAGCAGTAAGAAACCAAAGGGTATGAAGCTTTTTAATCAGCATTTTACCATTCAAATAATGCACCTTTACATTAGTTCAAATATATGTATATTGTTCATATTTGTGGCGACCTCTTTCTAAGAAATGTAGCAAAATGGTTTTTGGGTTGCCAAAGACTTTTGCTTTGTGATCTACTAGTATGGGAGCATATTGGTTCTGTTTTCATGTTTGTTTCTCTCACCCTCTTCTCCTAGACCCTTTTTGACTTTACTGAGATGGCTTGCTGATATCTTTTCCTAATCGTGTGAAGGCTCTTTGGGACAAAACACTCGAATTTAGATTCTTGCTACAAAAAGCATTCTCTAGTTCTAACAG